TGTTCGCTGTTCTCTGTCCATGCGGGAAATGCATAAGTCGCTTAAACATGCTCAACAATCCCGCTTGATGCATCACCACTCCTCCGGAGTGGTTTTAAACAGCAAAAGCCAAAGCGCTACAAGCTGTTGGGGCTCTGTATGACTTTCAGCATACAGAGGTGGTACAAGAGCTACCATTGGCCACAGCGCCTACCCAATTTTTGAAGTTGAATCAATAACCAGTGCTCAACACTCCCGCTTGACGCACACCCCCAAAAAACTCTTGCAGAGTTTAAGCGGCAAAGCCACAGCGCTAGAAGCCGTAGGGACTCTGCATGACTTACAACCATGCAGAGGTGGTAACTGATGGTTATCATTGGTTCCGACGCCTACACAAAACATTTTTGCTTTAATACATTTTTATGCAAATACATTCATCCTGGTCCTGCCCTCACACTGAGTTATTCAATGGGTTTTCTTTACTTAAACATTAAATGCTGTTAATGAGTCATTAACTGACTCTGAGAGCGAATTTTTTCAAATCGTTACTGAGGAACACCGTAAGTAATCATAAAACGACTGTGAGTGTGGCAGTGAGAGTTGCACATAAATGTTTGGCTTTCTGAAAGTTGGGCATACAACTTATTTTTTAGGCAACTTCATTTATTTGAACAATTGTGTACAAATAACAAGTGAGATATTCTAGCAATAGACGTCACAGCTGACCTGTTTCTTAGAGTTGCTTATTTTGGTCTAAAACCTTGCTTTTTGATCTGATTTGCTTTAAATAGCCAAATAAAACTTAGTAGTATTTACTGTTCAAACAGTAACATGCAGGGTAGGCAAAAACTCCGGTTCCAGCGAGCGAGCGAGGAAACTCCTACTCAATGCCTAGTGATGGCACGATTAATCGAAAAATCGATTATAATCGGTTATTTTCATTCGGTTAACGATTTAATTGCATCGAAATTTTCATTTCGATTAATCGAGCGATTAATCTATTAATTTTCAAAATAATCGAAAGAAACCATCCAAAATTTACTACTTTACTTACTCAATAATGTATGAATCAAAATTACATAACAAAAATTTGGCACTCTAGCCACTCAATAATATTAGCAGCAATAAAAGTGTACACTGTACTCTAATTTTACTAGTTGTGATACTTTTTACATTCTCGTATTTTGCAAATTTTTAAACGATATTTTTGCAAAAAACCGCAACACAAGTTTAACAAAAGTAGCAACTAAAAAATCTTAACTCAGGTATACACATATTTTCATTTTATTTCCCAAATTCGGTGTTGTGCATTTTCTTCCATACAAATTATGTTCGACGCTTTTTTCGTATAGAAAAAAATTAGCAACACTGTCAACAACAAAAAAAATTGCCAAAAATTAACGGTAAGTGCCAGATACTTTAATTTTGCAATTTTTTATATATTTAATGGACGAAAAATTGCATACTGTGTAACGGATGGTATACTACATCTTTTTATTTATTGCTTCCCTTCGTTTTCAGTGTTAATGATTGTTTGCGCACTGAATTCATAGCGCAAGTTTCCACAATTTAATCACTGATGAAAATAGCACGTATCTATTCTTCTGTGCATGAGAATATACATACATACATATATACTTAACGAACACGCGGATGCGTGCTCGAAAAAAATAAAGTTGGGGGCCGCCCCGCGGCCCCAGGTTTCCCTAAGGATAGAAATAAAAAGCAAGATTAGCAGTACAAGTGTATATTTACCATTCGGCTCTCCAAATAAGAATGAATACAAAATATTACTTAAAGCTATCGCTAAGTATCTAAACGGCCCGAATTAATTGATTAGTTGCTGACGCTGCGCTTCCCACGATTTGCATTTTGGTTGCATAAAACCAATTGGTATCGCTTACGTTGCAGGTCAATTACCTGCACTGGCTATGCGCGTGTTTGGCGAAGTGCGGCGTCAGCACATTCGCATTAGTAAGTAGGTTGGCCCCCTTGTTAACTA